TTTTGTTAATTGTGATTAACAGTAAGTTTTAGTAATGTTTTTATCTAATGTTTAAATTTAATTTGATATAATTTATTTTAGGATATTTGTATTAAAATTTACTTAAGTGGTCAAAATCATATTTATTTATTTTTTTAATCATCATTAAAGCAAAATATGACAAAATGGTGGGGTATTGGTATGGGACACTTATTAAAAAAATCATTATTATTTATATTTTATTTTATCTGCCCTGTTCATTTCCATATTTATATTTTTGGCAAAATGAGGGCTCTGCCGACTATGATTATTCTATTTATTTATAATCAGTATGTTATGAATTTGAGCGATTTATCATCATTATGATTATTTATTTTTTTATTTTAATTTATCAATTATATACATTTTTTTTTCTAATAAATAAAAAATCAATTTAACTATAAATTTATCAAAATCGGTCTACGGATGATTTTGAATTTAGTCAAATTTTTTTTATAAAATATTACATCAAAATTTATGCTAATCAAATGGAATTTTCATAAGTTATGTCATTAATTATTATATTTTTGAATAGCTATACCAACTAATGTGAAATTATTTTTCATCATCAATATTAATAGGATGATTATGATGAATATCAACATCAAATATAAGCTTTCAAACTCAACTTATGAAAGTTTATGCACTAGATCACATAAATATTATTCTTATGGCAATGATCATCAATCTTAGTATACTAATTAGTATAATATTAACTCACTTTTTAATAATCTTCAACAATATCATGATTCACAAGAACATATTAAATATTAGTGTTATATGCCCATACATGCTCATGATATAGGTAACTCGTAGATACCTAATAGATTCATCTCTAAGGAGCTCAATCAAGAAATGAACTTGCCCAAAACAAGTCTCGCCTTGAGGGCGATTCATTGTAATAGAGCTAGGGATAAGCATATATTCAACTAATGAGCTAGTATTATAAGAGCAACTCTTGAGGATCTCGATTAAGGATGCACACATTCCGTGCTAGTTCAATTATGGAATTCACCTCCATATGCCTTCACTTAAAAAGATGTGCATCTTATGAGGACTCAACTCTTTCAACATTTTCCTCAATCTAGGCCTTCCATCTTCCACAAATAACCTCATTCAAGTATAAGAGGAAAACACACATATAGTGCCCATAGTCATGGTTGTATCAATTATGTTTATCCCCAATACGGGTGTCAATATTTGACACGATACAAAAACTCGACTCGAATCTGTCCCAAAAAATTTGAGTTAGACACAACCCGATTTTAAAATTGATAGGATTCAGGTTCCTGGATTCGACCAGTTTGAAAAAATTGGTCGAGTTTTGGTTGATCCGAATATTCGAAATCAACCCGATTTTGGCCCGTTTGGAAAAACACGCTAGTCACAAATTTTTATTCACAAATTAAATACAAATTTCCCCAGACTTCAGCGTCGGAATGCGCCAGGGAAAATTCTAGAATTTTCTAATATGTATTCAAACCCCTGGACACCACCATAGAACACATGCAGACCTTTTTCATACACCAAATCATTTGCAAACACATACAAAAGAGTTCAATATGCAAAGATTCAAACAATTACCTTTTTCGGATCGGGTCATAATAGGTTGAATTGAATACTAAATATGGATGTACCACAAGTAATGTGAAAAAGGTTATAGAGACTAGTGAAGATATTTGAATTAATCATTATCTAAAGGTTGAATAACATCTCTTGAAGTTGTGGGTGAGGTGATGCTAAAAAGCTAGGATACCGTTGAGAATGACCAAAATAGTTTGACTAGTAGCATGAAAATAAATAGTGTGACGATAGATGAAGGTCATGATGGTGATAGGGTTATCAAGGTCTCTCTCTCTCTAAATGAACGGTTAATTGATAACCTAAGGTTGGCAGGTGATTAAAGGTAGTTGTGTGAGTCACTATCTTGAAAGATAGAGGGAACCAAACTACATCAAGTTAGTGTATGATTAAGGATAGGCAGTGTAGGTCTTCTTCTTGAAGAAAGGAGGGAGTTTGGACAATCTAGTGTTAAGGAAAAACTATGGGTGATCTTGATAGTCTATGTGTGTGTGGAAAAGGATTTATTTTATGACCTAGAATAAGTGAGTGGCTAGTGTCGTTCAATATAGTCTTCCCAAATAGTAGAGGTTAAATTACTTTGAGTTGGTGTGTGATTGGAAGTCTTTGAGATAGTCCTTGACATAAACAAGAGAGGGGTTGATTAGATGATCTTGAATTGATGGGAGACTAAAGATAATTAAGAAAGTTTTATCCTAAATAGAGGGGCCTATTGAGTTGCTTAAAATTAATGTAATGAATGCTTTTGCAGTCAAGAGAGTACCTATAATAATCTAGATTAGACCTAACAAAAATTTATATGTTAAATTAGCATTTACAAGAATTTTTATGCATTTATGAATTTGTCACTTAGTGTGTTATGGCATTGTGTTATTTGAGCGCTATTCCTTTATTTGGGGAACTGCGATGCTGTAACGTGAGTGCTGCAGCTCTGTGTGCCAAAGTGTGGTGTGATGGTGCTAGTTGGGGGCACTATTGTGCCGAAGTCACTGTTTGAGTACTTGAAATTTCCTCTTAGGAGCACTGTAACATTGTGGAAGCTAGGTTGTGCATTGCGATGTTATCTATAAATTTCCAATTCCATTTTCTAGAAATTTATCTCTTTTTCAGGCAACTAGTATGAGAGAGAGAGAGAGAGAGAGAGAGAGAGAGAGAGAATTTAGATATAGAAAGTTGAACTTAGGTTGTTGTGCTGATTTCGCTTAATGGATCAATTGAAAAAGTTGCTCATATCAATGTATGTTATCGTTACCCTTGTTCATATTTCAATTCCGTTACTTTTGCAGGTATTTTTGGTATTTTATTTTCTTAGATTTTATACAACACAAATTAATGAATATTTAGAAACTCTTCATTTTATAATTTTCAGTAAATGATAAAATAGAATATTCCGATCATATTTACGAAAAAAATATTAATTTCACAGTGTCTTGCTTTTTATCTCACACTACTCACAAAAATAAATCTTTTTAGGCCTAAGAAACATTCAATCTTTATCAAATTGCTTGGAAATTAGGGAGAAAAAGGGTTTGTCACTTAATAAGACAATGTAGATAAAAAGGTTGGAAAGAATAAAGCAAGGCTACAACATAATCAAACAACTAAAAAGTTTGAAAAAGTGGAGAGTCATGCTTTACAATTTTAAAGAACTATAACTTTATTTGTTAGATAAGAGACAAAATAGAGTAGACAGTGATCTTAACAAACAAACAAAATATAGAAATTAGTGTTGCATTTTAGTGGACTTATTTAGGCTTCATTTGGGACGACTTTCTTAATACTTCTTAAACTAAATTTTTAATATAAAAATTACTTTTTTTAATTAAAAAATTACTTTAAGAAGCAGTAAAAAAATAGTCTCAAATGAAGCCTTAATGATAAATGGCACTTTAGCTTCTCCAACTCTATTTTGAATATGTTAGTTATTGCAAATGTTAGAAAATTAGCAACTTGACTGCATTCCTCTTAGGGCATCTCCAACCGAACGCCAAACGAGCGTTTGGCGTCATTCCTTCGCTCCAGCCAAACGCCAAAAAATCCTCCATTTGCTTGCGGGTGAACAGTACCCATGCCATTTTTCTCTGTTAACCGGAAAAATGCGGGAAAGGAGAAGGGTCGTTACCTTGGCGCAGAAGCAAAAAAATGGAGTTTGATTGGAGCAGCACCACGCCATTTTTGCTTTTTGCGGTATTTTGACGTGAAAAATAGAATTCTCGGTTGGAGATGACCTATGCAATAAACTCTCCCTTCTCATATAAGACAACTCATCAAAATCACTTACATTATAAAATTGTTAAGAAGCAAAGATTAAGCACCTTAATAGTTAGTTCAATGTATCTTCCATTAACTTTTATTAAGGATAAACAAATATTTATTATATTTATGAGTTAGTTTAGTTAAAATAAATTTATTGTATTTGAATACTTAATAGGGGTTGATTAATTATAAAATAAATTAAATAGAATAATTTTTTTATATTTAGATTGTTATAAAATAAACTCAAAATTTTAAAAAGTTTTAGGGCATGGAGAAGGCGGTCAGTGAAAGAGGCCAGAGGTAGCAAGCAGTCGATGACGAGTTATGATCGCAAACAATAGCAATAGTCAATAGCTCGCAGCGACGACGAGCAATAGGGGTGGGCGCAAAATATAACTCGGTAGATTAAAAACTGAATTATAAATTTATGAATGATATATTATATATTTAATTATCTTCCAAAAAAAACTGCCATAGGAAAAATATATATTTTTTTGTATTTTACAAGAAAATAATTACTCTTATAAAACTATGCCAAAAAAAAAATCTCTTACAATTATATAAAAATATTTGAAATTTTAACTCGACATATTTTACAATATCTGCCACCCTTCCGCAGGTCAAGCAGTCAACCGCTGCTCTGCACGAGAGTAACCGCAAAGCAAAGCAGCTGCAGCGCAGTAAATCACAACAAACCCAGTAAATAACTGCTTCTCCACCGCCGGCGAAGCAGTTCCAGCTTCCGGCGATGCTTGTTCTTGATATTCCGGCGATCAATTAACAATTTTAACAGAGCTCAATCCAATATTATAATTCAAGTCATTATCCTTTCCATTACACCGCAAAGAAAGAGATAAATAGAGAAGAAAACAACCATAATAGCTGCCAAAGCCGGCCGGCAGCAGCTGAAAGCTTTAAAGACCTTGTCTCGCTATCTCTTTTTTATTTTCATATAGCCCGAAGGTAGAAGAAAGTAGGGTTCTTTAAGAAAAAGACGTGAAAAAGACCGGTCTTTGTCGCCATCCGATGCCTATTTCCCAACAGCTAAATGCAGTGAGCTCTGAAACGCTCCTTTCGATCGCTCTGTGAACGCAGACAAAAAGATTTTGAAACTGGAAGATAAAAGCTTGTCACTATTGATCAAACGGAATCGATCGAAGAAATCGATTCATATTAAGAAAAAAATGTCAACTTTTTAATAATGTTTACATACTAAGGGATCGCTTCCATCAAAACTTTTGGTCGAAAGTGATGAAATTTCATCCATAATAGCATTTCTGTCTAATAATATGAGAGGATACATAGAAATTTTTTAGTGAATCAAGCAACCATGCTGTTGGAAACAGTTGTGAGTGATCGTTTACAGTGTGCGATGGCGCTTTGGATCCCATCCTGCTGCTCTAAGAAAGAGTCATCCCGCCGTTGGAGAGGAATCGACGCCGGCGAGGTGAGGGTGGACGGCGGCACCGACTTGCTCTTCCTCAAATGTTTGTACACCACCTTTATCCGGGAAGAAACTGCTGGTTTCTGCCTCTTCTTCCCTATTTTCAAACTCACCTCAGCTTCCTTTTCTTCTCCTTCCCAAGGCTCCGTCGCCGAGAATCTCAGCTTATCAGAGTATCTCTTCGAGACTCTAACATAAAGAGGCTTGATCTTGCTAAGGTACTTCTGAACACCTTCCTTCGAACTAACCGATCTTTCTTCCGGCGAGGATTGCGAGCCGGCGATGGGGTTTCTGGAACTGCTTTCTCGAGAGAAGAGGGACGCGATCGGAACTTCATCCACTTTGAACTTGATAAAGAACTTGCTCAAATGAGGGTTCTGCTTCGGAGACGGCGCATCAGCTGTGGAAATAAGCTCCGGTGAATGAGATTTGGGTTTCCGAAGCCGTAGCATGAGAACGCGCAATCTCGTGGCTGGTTTGAGGAAGGAGACGGTGATCTGCGGCTTAAGATCGCTCTCAGTCGAGCCAATAAGCCTTCCCTTGAAGAAGAGATCATCGGAGGGTGAAAGGGGAAGTTTCCGATCAGATTGGAACTCGCTCTCATCGGAAGAAGAAGTCATCGTGAAGCTGAAATGATCCTTCTCATCTTCGTCCTGGTTCTCTCCGTCTTCCACTCCATTGTGGGCATCCGGAAACTCTAGATCGAAAAAAGACCCATCGTCCTCGGAGTTTTCGTCGAGGGTCTCCGGCGGAGGGGAAATGGCGGCGGCGGCGGCGCGGATGGTGGACACCGCCGCAGCTCCGCCGCCTCCTCTCCAGTACTTGAGGAGGCTGAAGGACTCCATGGTAGGGAGAGCCAGCGAGCTTTCTCTCGTTTACTTTTAGTAACAGTAATGAGAACGGGATGAGAAAGGAAAGAAATGTCGTATCTTGGAGACGAAAGACGCAGAGCTCAGAAAACTCAGAACAGGGAAAAGGGAGGGGAAGGGGAGAGAGAGAGAGCGCGCGCATATTTGGACCATGGAAGAATGAATATTGGTTTGAAGTCCGGTGAACACGTGGCATGAATGAGTCACGTGACATTGGTGTGAGAGCGTACTCTAATTATGTTTGTAGAGTTAATATTGACCAACTTTTTAAGGCGAATAAATGAGTCTTATTAAGCAAATTAATGAGTGATCACATCAAATTATTTGCTAACTAATCAAATGAGTCTTATCAAACTTATTGATAAGAAAACAATCGAGTAACACAAATTGTTAACTAATTGATTTAGCTTATCAAGTCTATTAATTAACATAACTATCAAACAACTTATTATCAAACTAAAGGAACCCTAACGATCTAATGAATAGCTTTTCGATAAGAGTTTTCGATACATTACTTGATAATTAATATAATTAAGCATTTATTTTTGTGTAAGTAAATGAAATAGAAAGTTTCATTATCTATTATGGGATTATTCAATTCAAACTCTATTTTTAGCAACGTAATAGTCGAAACAAATATTTAGATGAGATCTATCCAACAATACAGAAAATATCTTAATCCGAGTATCAGTGATCTTAAATAATCATATTATCAAAATTAACTAAGCTTCTTGATGTTTGTTCGTGATTGTAAATAAATAGAGCACTTAATTATTCATTTATCAATGAAGTACTCATAAAAGTTATTCAATCAATTAATTAAATGATTATAAATAAACTTCAAATAAGCTCTAACTATGTTTGTTCATGACTATTTGTGAAATGCTAGAGGAAATGTTACTCCAATGAATTATAGCATTAAAAATGTCAATTTGCTTAAGGCTACTCGCTCATTTAGAATTAAATTGCAATCAATCTTGTCAAAGTACCTTGTTATAGAATTCATTAAAGAGTTTGATAAAAGAAGCTTTTCTTCAACTGAAATTGTCTTTGATATTTTGACTTATCAAAAGTTATCTATGGGTTCAAGCAACAAATATTTAGAAAAACTCATATATTTTTAAATAAGCATTATTTAGTCATATTCTGTGACTTTACATGAATTTTTTAAATATAGAAATTTTTATAATGATGAGCTTCATCACAAATCTTTAAATTAGGGGTAGAGGTTTAGTCTAAAATATTTTGATTGCCAGATCAGAGCAAACTTGTACTTTTTATAATGATATGATAAAATCTAAAAGCTCTTTCCAGAACAATTCTCTCTTTCTCTATCCCTTATTTTGTAAGGCTTTTAACCTTCTTATTAAAAAGACACATATTTAAATTCAACATCTTTGTATGTGAGGTAAGAATGAGATATGTTGATAATTAGAAGGCAAGTCATGGAGCTTCCTCATGAGATAGAGAGGTGTCCACATGTAGAGCAATAAGATTGTATAACGATAAAACAATTTAATCAAACACTGTTTTTAAGAATAAAGGTGATGCACAAGAGTGCGTGAATTATAGAAGAATTAAGTTGATGTGTCATACATTAAATTAGTTATAGAAGAGAATAATTGAACATATGTTACAACGTGAAACTAATATTTCTTGGATTCATGCTGGGTAGATCTACTAAAAAAGCTATACATTTGCTGCGAGGTTTGATGGAGAAGTACAAAGAGAGTAAGGAGGATCTACCTATAATATTGATGCATGGATTTAGAGAAGTCATATGATAAAGTTCCAAGAGAAGTGCTCAAGAGAGTACTAGAAAAATATGAGTTAATAATGCTAATTATATTCAAGTCATTAAGAATATGTATAATAAGTTATTACTGGTGTTCAAACTCAAGGTGGTTTAACTAAGCATTTTCTTATTTTAGTTGGATTACTTCAAGGATTATTTTTAAGCCCATATCTTTTTTGCTTTAGTCATGAATGTTCTTAGTAAACATTTGTAAGAGGATGTGTCTTGGTGTATGCTTTTTGTTGTTGCTATTCTTCTTATTGATAAGACTAGAGAGGGAGTTGATGAAAAGCTTGAATTATTGAAGTTAACATAAGAGTCTAAAGGTTTCCGTTTGAGTAGATCTAAAATCAAATACATGAAGTATAATTTTAGTAGTAATAGATATAATTGTGGGAATATGATATTGGGTGATGAAGCCATTAAAAAGAGCGCACGTTTGTAGACATATCATGCCTATTGTTCAAAGCGATGGTGAAATAGATGGGGATATTATTAGTATAATTCATGTTGGATGGTTGAAGTGGAGGAATCCATCAAGCCTATTGTGTGATAAAACATACTCCTCAAACTTAAGGAAAATTTCTATAATATGGTGGTGAAACCTATAATGCTTTGTAAAGCAGAATGGTAGTCATTAAATGTAAGTCAACTGTTGCATATATGAGGATCCTCATGTGGATGAGTGACTTTATGCAAATCATCAAAAGTAATTCAAGTGTTGTATATATAAGGATGCTCAAGTGGATGAGTGGCTTTACACTTAAAGATAGAATGTGAAAAGAGTATATACATGGAAAGGTTGGAGTAGCTCCATTCATATATAAGATTAGAGAGAGTCGCCTTAGATGGTTAGGTCACATAAAATGTCAGTCTTTCAATAGGCATGTAAGAAGAGTAGATGTATAAGATCTGACCTATATTAAGAAAGGTAAAGGTACAACTAATAAGACTTGGTTAGAAAGTATTAAAATAAAATTGTAATTAGATCTAAATGAGAATTTGATTTGTAATAGGACACGATGAAGAAAAGGATTCATGAAGCAGACCTCACGTAGTAGGATAAAGACTTGTTGTTGTTGTTGTAAGAAAATTGAATCAAATGGAAGATCATCAAATAAGAATGATATGAGGAATTCTTAAATAGGTTTTGAAATTCACTCCTCATGTTAATATTCCTTTTGAAAAAAAAAGGCTCTTCTAATTTTGTTGATTTGAAGGTTGTCACCAATATTTGGAACATTTTCTCTGCATAACTATTTGACATAACTTATATCCTTGATGTGAACATTGTCGAAACTTATTTAACTCATTATGTTGTAAAATGTTGAGCATAGATGTTAAACACCTCTTTATTTGAATTATAAATGCACAACCACGCTAAAGTTCAAAATATCATATGTAAATTTATATAGAAGGAAATCATATTACACTAATCATATTGCTTATTTTGAGTTGGTTGATTCCCTTGTAAAGATCAATAATGTGCTTATATACTAACTATTCTTCACTATATTTAAAGAAACGTTATTGAGATTGTTCTCACAATTATCTCTTCGTTGTATTACCTGTAATGCAAAATTTAAAAAGAAATTAATCATTCGGTCTGCTTACACTAGAAAACCATTGAAGTATTCTCAAGCTCATCTCAATATGATCTAAGAGTAGGGTGAGTCTTTGACAAATTTTATTATTCCATTACAACAGGAAATATTGGAAGTAAAGGAATTCGAGCTTGCAGTAGTACAAGCCATATTAACTCGAACTATGGGAAGATCCATTTAGATAAGTGTCAGATTCATAACAGCCACAAATGCTAGCCAAGTTGCTAGAACTCACCAATAGACATACCAATACCAAGGAGTATAATTATGTATAAATTGCTCTTTATCTAGGCTACATGATTGAGAAATTTATGTCAACTTCTCAAGGACCAAATAATTCAACCAAAAAAATAATAATTAAGAGAAAATTGGCCAAAAAGTCACAATATCTATAATAAAAAAACAAACAATAACAATTTTAAAATTATGAGCATCAGCCAGAGATTAGATATTAAAACCAAAGTAGTTATGATATTGCCAAGCTAAGAACTCACCACCAACTTATGATTATAAGATTTTCATTCTACTACATGTTTGTCTTGTTGAGATCATGAATGCACATGAGAAGGTGAGTGAAGGTGCATATGAGCATGATACAAGGGACTATTAACATCCATGTAATCTTGTTAAGGAGCTAATTGTGTTGAAAAGAACAAAGATTTTATCAATGTTGAGCTTAAATAGCAATCCAAGAAGGTGCCTATGTAGGAACAACTTAATCAACCTATCTAAGCATACACTTTGTTAAGGTGGTGTTAGCAATTCTTAGATGCAAGCTTGAGGTTTTGCACTCACTTTGTTAAGGTGGTGTTAGCAATTCTTGGATGCAAGCTTAAGTTCAACTCATGTGATAAAGTTTAGGGGGATTTAAATGTCTATCACAACATTTTTATCTATTTATATATGTAAAATATAAATCATTCCATGTACTTATATAGTAGTCTTAGGCTTTGTTTGAGATAACTTTTTTTACATTTTGTAAAGCAACTTTTTTATATAAAAATTTCTTGAAAATTACAAAAAAATAATGATCAAAAGCTGTTTCAAACAAAGCCGTAATCACATAAAAAATATCATTAATATTAAATTTTACAAAGTAAAACACACCTTTTCATGCATATATAGGCTTTGATGTGATTTAGATATTAAAGTGATTTATGACTATAAACATTTAATCGCCAGATATGTAAATACGTAATATTTATGTGTTATGCATGTAAATCATTTATATATATTAAAAGCTCTTTAAAATTAATTTAATCAACATAAATATCTAATCAAAATTAAACTTAATTTTTTTTTAATTTTTTTATTTTTAAATAATTAAGCATATTTGTCATTATTAAGTAAATTTAAATTAAAATAAATCTAATAGTCATCTATTAAAATTTAATTATCTTTAAAGTATAATCATAATTGAGTTCTAGTAATAGCAAATCAATTAAGTTTTATTCATGTTGTGTGTTGGAAAATTTATGACAGTAAAAAAAGCACATAAAATGCTAGAGTTTTTTAAATGAAATCTTGGGCAAAGAAAACACCATGGGCATTTTCTAACTAAATTAATTTCATTATGTGATCCAAATTGGAGAAGGCAATATCATAGGAATATGAATGAGTTAGTGGGGGATGAGAAGAGTGTTTAATGGTCTGAAAATGTTGGCCAGGTGGCACCAATCCAAAAATAGAGGCCGAGCAATGAT